GGCTGGCCATGGAGAGGATGATGAGGTTGGTGGGACTGGGCAGCAGAGTGGGCCTTGGGGGAGCGGAATCTAGTGGGTGGTAGTGGTCCAGCTAGCAGGCTGGTCACTCGCCTGCTTGAAGGCAGACATCTTCAGTGCAAAGAAGGTCAGTGTTTTTATTCATGCAGTGGCTGTGCAGTCCACATATTTCAGCACCTAGAAGATCCTTTCCTTCACTCTCAGAATCTACCTCCTTGAAGGGAAGCCACTATTCTAACTGATCTCCTCAACGATTACTCTTGTCTGTGAGTGTGTGTGTGTGTGTGTGTGTGTGTGTGTGTGTTTGTTTTTGCCCACCCCAGACCCCGAATGTACTATGTATTACTTCACTGAATACAATTTATAGATAACTACGGTGTGTGAGCTATTATATGGCCCAGTGTTGGTGATATGAAAAAATGGTCCTTGGCATTATTAAAAAAAAGAAAAAAATGACAGCCAAGTGACATGAGACAGCCAAGTGAGCCAGTGGTTACCAGAGCCCATTTAGATATTGGGCTGACATTGTTTATCCAAGGAGTTTTCATGGCACAGAAGAGGACAGTTAAAGTGGGTAACACGTGCTAATATGTCAAGAAAGGCATTCACAACATAGGAAGAGCACTGTAGACAGATAGATCTAGGGATTTGAAGGCCCGGAGGCAGGGGTTAGCAGGATGCAAGCATGGGATGGATGATTGGTATTCTAGTGTGGCTTAGCAAGGAATGTGCAGGCTCACTGGAACTGAAGAGAAACATAGACAGGTCGAAGAACCAAAGCTAAGCAGGTTTGTAGTATAAGAGAGAAAATGGGTGGATAGGAAACAGAACCCTTAAATTCTCCCTCTGTGTGTTCAAACATGTTATGGGACCTTCCTGTAAGCAAACACTATAATCAAAGAGCTGGAAAAGTCATTCTAAAACTGTAAATGGGTGGGCTATTGCAAATGTTTTTGTGCTGTGAGGAGTTTTTTTAAGTTCATTAATTAGAATAAGATTGCGTACTGTAGTCATCCCCTGAAGATTCATAGTAGCATTAGTATTGTGAAGACTTTCAAACCTCCCAGGAAAGAAACAACTTCAGTTTTCTTTATCTAACCATTTTCTGAAGCATTTGAGAATGGACCCAATTTTTTATAATAGTAATATCATTATCATTTTATAGAGCCCAGTTTTGACAACAGTAATCTGGGTCTCAAGGGAAAGAAAAACCAATGATCTCCATTCATAAGCTTTATTTATTTATTTATTTATTTATCTGTGCAATGATGAGGATCAATTCTGGGACTACCCACATAATAGCAAGCATTCCACCATTGAGTTATACCTTAACACTATGTAATCTTTTTTCCAATGCATAACCAAATTGCTGGTTCTTATATACTCACTTCCATTTTGGAGTGCTCTTGCATCCCTGTAATAAACTTCAGTTGTTTATTTTTCATTGAATTAGCTGTCTGGAATTTTCTTCTTCTTCTTCTTTTTTTTTTTTTTTGTTATGCTCAGACTTTATTACCTGCTAATAAGTTGTAAGAAATGTGAATTTAGCTGTTCCTAAACAAATATAAATCATTTCAAATGTGTTTAATAGGAATTATAATGAATAAAATCACTTTTACTTATTATGAAGTCCTTATGCTCATGGTGGCAAACTTCTAAATTAATAAATAATGAGCCAGTAAATCAATGGTGATGCTAAAGAAATCAAATAAATAAAAATAGTATTGACCTTGTTGAAATTTAATGTTTCCAGCATTTATCTGTCAGAGCCACTGATTTGTAAATTGTTGTGGACCTTTTTTCCCATAAAAATCCCCATCATTGTGCAAAGTGCAGTTCCGCTTTCCTTGAGGAGAATGCAGTGATTGATTATCCAGAGTGCTGTGCTGACAAGGTAAACCAGCCAAAGAGCTGGGAAATTGTATAGAATCATAGAGCATCACATGGATGCCATGTCAAGCACAGCCATTGGAATTAAATTGTGCCTTTCTAGTTAGTCTGTGCCAGTACTCCTGCTCACCCCCAAAACCTCGACCACCAGAGACTATTCAGTCTACCTTTCTCCTCCAAACTCTGTCAGTTCCATTCTTATTACCCCAAAGCACTGTACAGAATAAACCTCCCTCACCCAAAGAGATTGTAAAATACAAGGGCCTGTTTCCCACATGCCTTGCCTATATGACCATCAGGAGAAGTTTTTATATTTCCTACATGAGTACTCTTTTATTAGTTCTGAAGATCCTGGCATGTGATGAGCAAGTGGAAGGATGGGAGATGAACAAAAAGGAAGGAGCATGTTGGTCACTTTTAAGAAGCTGATAATCTAGTTGGGGACACCTACAATAGCCTGAGAACAGCTATACACTAATTCAGCCAGTGTCAAAGCACCAATGCACAGATTGAATACATTAGTCTTGTGGACCAATAAAGGCGCAATCAAATTATCCTTGTGATTAGTGGACTAAATTGAGTCATAATAAAGGAAGGGGCTACCCAAGCTACCCCAGAGCTGATTATCAATCGTGTAATTGAAGACAGAACCAGGCCTTCTCCTAATGACCAAAGTAATCTCCCCATGTTCATCTTGCAATGCTGTAGAATTGAAGCAGGCTCTGTGAGGATTGCTGAGCTCCTCTGCTTTATTAATTGCTGTCCACATTTTGTAGGATATCCTGTGTTCTGAATTGGGATGAGGATTTTAGATGCTTAACGTGGGGACATGTAGCTGGGCAGAATCAATTCCTGTCAGTCACACACAAATACAGAGGAATGGGATTATAGATCAGGGTGAAGCTGCAGTGCTTTAATCTCAAAATCAATACAGAAAAGGAAGTTGAACTTGTGAGGATTCTATAGAGACTGTAATTTGCTTCCCTATGAGGTTAGCCTTACATAATATAATGCTCCTTTCTTCTTTCCTTCTAATTATTTCAGTAGGTGTGGGGAGGGGAGAGGAAGGCATAGTAGGCAGAAGCCTATACCACCAAATCATCACAAATAAGCACACAACTGTAACTCATAATCCAGGCTAATCCTCCATTGTATATACTTTTATCTGTTCTTTTTATTTTGGGGAAACATTATCTAAAACCCTGACCCTATTGTGTATCTTTAAGCATAGTAAAATGCTCTTGATTCCTTGCTAGGTCACAATGAGAGTGGAAAAAAATATTTTTTAATATTTCCTTTATGACTAAGCCTGCTATAGCATGTGTAATTTTATTCAAATAAATATATAACATATTCTTTATTGACCAAAGGATTCCAGACTGCTAAGCATGTGATTAATATTTACCTCAGTATAAATCTGCTCTTTTTGCAAGAGACATGAAATAATGGTTTAAACACCTCAGTCTTTTTTAACCAAAGATTCAGAGTTTATTGAATGTTCCTTTTTTCAGAATTAACACTAATTTGCTTATTTTTCTCTTTGGAAGTTCTTTGATTCAGTTTTAAAGTCTTAGTCTGTGTGGGCCCTTCTCAATGGTACGGACAATTATGCCATTATCTGGCTCCTGACTTCCCTCAAGAACCCACGAGTTAAAGTCTTACTCTCTGAGAAGAGCGATTGGAAGGCTGTGCATGCTCTAGAGTGGAGCATAGCGGGCAGTCCTCAGGCCTCTAGGCGCGTGTCCATGGAGGGGACTGCAGAGTCCAACACCCTTCTCTTCTCTTAGGCTCCAGCCATGGCTTGAACAGTTATTTCACCATGTGATTCCACCATGGTGTGCTGCCTCACCAAAGGCCAAAACAATACAGCAAGTTATGGATTGAAACCTCCAAACTGAGCCAAATAGCCTTTCTCTTGGGAAGCTGGTTATCCCACTTGATTGTTATAGTAACAGGAATAAATGTGAAACACAGTAAATGGGCTATGGACAGAACTCGGGGCAGAACAGTGTTAGATCAGAATGGGATAGAAAAGTGAGCAGAGCCTGGAGCTCTTGCTTTTTTTGTCTCGTCTTTCTCATCCTGTTTACTGCTGTTTTCCTGGATAGGAATTATAGGGGTACTGGAAAGGTTAACAAGCTAAAGCAGGTGGAGTGCCCAGTATTGTGCCCTATACTTGTAAAAACCCTGTAAACGTTCATGATAATTATGATTATTATATGACGTTTAAGTGATTCAAAACATGTTTCAAACACCCTGCAAGCTGTAAGCTATAACCCAAATGTTGTTCTTAGTACAATGATAGTTTCTAAACTTAGAACCAATAATAAAAGCCTTTTTCTCTGTGCTGTCTGTAGTGGGCCTTTATTCTCTAAAGAGAGCCCTGGAGTTGATAAATAAGGTTTCCATTAACTATGAATGCTCTTTCTTAAAACCCATGGAGATTCCAGTAGTGGCTGCAGAATTCTGCAAACCCAGCCCTTGGGAAATGATGGCAATAGGATCAAGAATTTAAGCCATTCTGGGCTATATCATGAGTTCAAGGCCTACCTGAGCTACATAGTCCCCAAAACAGCAAGGAAGCCAGGTGGTGGCGGTGCCCTCCTTTAATCCTAGCACTTGGAAGGCAGAGGCAAGTGAATCTCTGTGAGTTCAAGGCCAGCCTGGACTACAGAGGGAGTTCCAGGGCAGCTTGGGCAACACAGAGAAACCCTGTTTTGAAGACAAAAACAAAACAAATAAACCATTAAGTAATAGAAATTAACCTAGGGATAAAGTGCAAAGTCCTGGTTTTCATCCCTTAATATCATATTTAAAAATAAAATCAGATATAGAGACATCTAGTAGATTCCTTGAAGTTCACAAAGTCTTTTGAAAATCCCTATCCTGTGCAAAACTGGGAACAGACCTTTCAGGTCTTTGAAAGGCTAGCATCATCTGAGATGTTTATTTTGTTGTAAGTGCCACATCCTACAGGAAACTCAAGTGCCTTGAGCGCTCACATCCTAACCATTGTTCTTGCTTGTCCTGTACGTTGTTCTGAACAGAAATCTCACAAGTTTCTGTGTCCTCTCTTTTTTGTTCATTTCCAGAGCACAATCATTGTGGAGAAGACTGTGCAAGACCTCATGAACCTGATGCATGACTTGAGTGCGTATTCAGATCAGTTCCTCAACATGGTGTGTGTGAAGCTCCAGGAGTACAAGGACACCTGCTCCTCAGCCTACAGGTACAGCTGGGGTGGGGGTGGCTCAGTGTGGAGCCTGCTCCTCAGCCTACAGGTATAGCTGGGGGTGGGGGGCTGACTCAGTGAAGCCTGGTGGGGTTGGCAGCACTGCCTTCTTTGCCTCCTTCCCTGCGTTTGTCAAAGGCCCTGGCAAGAAGAAGCACCGCAGAGACAGTCTCTTGGATCCTTGCACAGCCACACTGACAAAGGGAATGAACAGAACACATTGGCAGAGACAATTAAGATGATTACAGTGGCTCAGCTCAAGGGTCAGCCCTGATTTTTGTAGAGACCTAGAACTTCGAGAGTGACTTCCTCAAGCAAACAATTAGATCTGTTTTCAGCATCTGTTGAAGGGAGAGAGACAGTGTTATAAACTTGAAACCTGTTACTTAGACCTCAGATTTCTTTTCTCGGGTTTATCGAATTATCTGGTGCTCATGGAAAGAACATAGCATTTCACATAGAGAACTAATAATAGGAACAAATCATGGCCTGGTTGACAAGACTTGAAACAATTGCAGAAAAAGAGAATATGCAATAAGATACTAAATTATATGTGCTATATAATCAAGGATAGAGAAAGGGGCAGGCCTCCCATGGACTTATACAAAGCATGGCACAGGACCAAGCTCCTCCCCTTAAGTCAAGGTGGGGCCAGGCAATCCAGCATGGGGAACAGGTTACCAAAAGTCAGCTAAACACCAGGGAGAGGTCTCACTCCCACTGTTAGAAGCCTTACTAAGGGACCAAGCTACACAATTATCACACACATGCAGAGGGCCTAGGTCAGTCCCATTCAGACTTCCTAACCGTTGGTTCAGCATCCATGAGTTCTCGGGAACTCAGGTCAGCTCTCTCTGTATTTCTCCATCATGACCTTCCTAGCTGATACAATCCCTCCTCCCTTTCTTCAGCAAGATTCTTAGAGCTCAGTGCAATGGTTGTCTGTGGATTTCTGCCTCTGCTTCCATCATGGAGGGGGAGCAGCTGGGGAGGGGACAGCAGTAGAGGAGGGGTGGGAAACTGGTTGGTATATAAAATAAATGAAAAAATATTATTTAAATAAAAAATTTTAAAAATCTAAAAGACAAACAAAAAATAATTAAGGATAGAGAGGGACAGTCCAGTACATGATCATAATCTATGTGAAAAACAGAAAAGGTGATGATAGACTGGAATGTTTTTGCAGAAGGTGATGTGCTAGACAGGTGACATTCATGGAAGTGGAGAGAACCATAAAGGCATTGCAGTGCAGGAGAGAACACTAGCGTAATGCCCTTCTTTTTGGAGGGGACACAATAAGGGTTTCACAAGTGCAAAGTAGTAAGTAGTAGGAGATAGTGTTACCCAGGAAGAGGGACACAAACCAACAGAGGGTCTGAGAAGACAAGATCTGACATTTAGATGTTTCAAGAGTTGTTCTATGTGAGTCAGGAATCAAAGTTGAAAAACAGTAATCTGAAGGAGTGATATAATATATGTGAAGCAAACCTTCCTCATTCCTGCAGGAACTATTATTTCTCTGTTGTCTCAAAGCTCAATTAAATTTTAGAAAACCCTGATCCCATTGAGTTGTTCTCCCAACAGTATTTACTTTCTGTATTCGTCAAACTGTCAACATATTAGAATATTTCTATATTCAGTTAGATACTAAATAATTATCATGGTAATTCAAAAATATTAAATTCATCATCCTTGTGTTAACAGATAATGTAAATTCTTATTTTTAAAACAAGTTCATACAAATTCGCTTTGCCAAAAATTACAACATAATAAGTAAATGTTTCAAGCTAAAAATATACTCCATTACAATAAAACTTAGTGAAGAGATAAAATACAACTGATATTCAAAGAAAAACGAGAAAGGGTTCATAAAAAGAGCATTTATCATATATTATAAATACACAGTGGAAGAATTCAAATCCCTGTGAGATTGAGATTCCATTAAGTACATTTTTCATTTTTACTTGAAAAGTAGTAATTGAATCTACTTGGGAGACAATGAGCTGTTTCACTGTTTAAATAGATAGTGGTTAAATCAGTCATTACCTAAGCGATAGTCTATCACCTTATAGCTTTTTTAATGTGGGAGGTGTGAACATTTAAAATCTGCTGAGGAATTTTATTTTGTTTTGTTTTAATTTGGTTTGGTTTTGGTTTTCAAGACAGGGTTTCTCTGTGTAGTCTGTCTGTCCTAGAACTCACTCTGACATCAAACTCAGAGATCTGCCTGCTTCTGTGTCCGGACTGCTAGCATTACAGGCACAGGCCTTCACACCTGGTTAATTTTTAATCATATGTGTTATATTTAATGGAGATTGTGTCCTTGATCCAACACCCTCTTTTCCTACCCCTCACACAGCTCAAGTAACCACTTTTTTTACTCTCTACTTCTCAGGATTTGAATTGTAAAGATTCTGCACCTGAAAGAAAACGAGATATTTCTGTTCTTAGCCTATGGAAACATTGAAAATAGTGATTTTATTTTACAAATGTATTTATGATATGTCATAAGTCCTGAGTTTTTTAAGTATTTAAATTCATACCCCAAACAACTATATGTCAGCTTTAATATGCATAGAGGTGACTATAGTTTTTACAGATTATTTTAGTGGGTATACAAATTGCTCAATCCATTGACCTAACATATTTGTTTGAAATTGGAACTTCTGACCCATCCTGTGGATGTTCTATTTTCACGTGTTTTAAAATAAATTTCAAAATGGTTATATCAATATGTCACCTACCAAATTAGAATATAAAAAATTTTAAACACTGAAACTTCAATTTTCTGTAGCGAAAACATTTTAAAGTTAGACTTTAATAACACTGATTTACTTTATGTTTATATGGAACCACCATTAAATATAATTTTTTAAAATATGCATATATCTGATTATGGGCACCAACTAATTTCTCACCAATAATAATGTTGATGAGTATTTCTTATAATTAAACTATAATAAATAACCTATAATAAAATAACTGGCTCTTGATTCTAAATTCTACTGATAGGCGTTGTTAAGTGTTGTTGCTTTAATTATTTTGACAGAAAAATTTTAAGTTCCTAGAGCCCGGCACCTTATTCATCATTTCCTCTCAAGGTGTAATGTGCTTCTGGCCGTTCCAGCCCAAGATAATGTGGTCTCATTCATTGCTGTGAGCCTCTAAAAAATGATTTTATATCAAAGTGGAAATGCCCAATGAAGCCAACAACTTGCATCATGAACCAAGAAGCAGAGAAACATCCAGAGACCGGGGTCCCACAATTTTTTTTTTTTTTGAGAACACATACTCAAAGTCTACTCCTTTTTTTTTTTAAAGATTTATTTATTTATTTATTATGTATACAACATTCTTCCTCGATGTATGCCCGCAGGCCAGAGGAGGGCGCCAGATCTCAGTACAGATGGTTGTGAGCCCCCATGTGGTTGCTGGGAATTGAACTCAGGACCTCTGGAAGAGCAGCCAGTGCTCTTAACCTCTGAGCCATCTCTCCAGTCCCAAAGTCTACTCCTTTTTATTAGAGTGAAATCATTTTTATTCCTTATGTATGAAAATCTTGCCCATTGGTAAAAATGGTTATTGTTGTGAATTGTGGGTTTTGTTGTTTTTGTTTTTGTTTGTTTTAATGTTTTCTCCCCTAGACATCCCAATCATCCTCCATCCATTGTCATAGCCCATCTTAGAAAGGACTGTCCCCAGCCTAGACTGGTTACCCAGATGTACTCTGCATAATAGAACAGCACCATCGCGAGCCTCCTTTAGGAGCGATAGCTAAACCCAGTTCTTCTTGTATCCTGCCACGGCATTGTCTAGAGCTTCCCTGAACATCCACCAAGACACCCTCCTCCCCATGTGTGTGTAAAGAGTTAACCAGTCGCAGACTCTACCTTTAACGGGCCTTGCAGTCTAGGGAAATGAGAGGAAGGGAAGTTTGTGACAAAGAAACAGACTGTATACCCACAGCGTCACGTTGTGAGAGGAGATACAGTCAGTCCGTCAGAGAAGGGCCATGCCGTAGGTGCAGGAGAGGGTTAGAGAAGGACGTGGTCTGGAGTGATGAGGAATGAGGGTGATTGAGACCGAGAGGCTGAAGAAGGGTAGGATGGAACTGCAGCCACATCCAGGAGGTTAGGAGGTGAGGAAAGGAAGAGCGAGCGAACGAGTGTGGGTGACATGAGGAGCTCTGGAACTCCTGCTTTAGAGTTAGGCAGGAGCCAGTGAAGGTGCAAGGGGAGGACCAGGTGCAGAGAGATGCTCGATGGAGGCTCGTCCGCTTTTGTGTTTAGACGGATTGAAGAGAGAAGGAAGAGCTGTAGGGGAGTGCTTGTTAGGAACGAGGTGAGGAAAATAGAGAGAAAGGGACATCCTGGAGGCAGAAGAGGTACCGTTTGTGATTCCAGACCACTGATTGGCTAGAGGGGGTAGAGGGAGGGCTTAGGGGAAACAAGGGTAAAAGCATCTCTCTCTTTACAATTTGTGGTAACTTTTAAACATAGACTCCAGATCTCACATCACCCATTGAGTGTAGTGTTATTTTTAACTCCTCATCTGGGTCTATTGAGATATTTTTGAATCCTCATTCTGTCATCAAAAATTCTGAGCTATTGCTCTAAGTTCCATGCCTCCCTTTAGTTTTTTTCTTTAGAGGAAAGCATTCAACAAAACAGCTTAAGTTGAAAATTTAGGGGTGCCTCTTGGGCCATCCTTACCAGGTGAACATGTATGTGTTATACAGTGTTTCTAGCTAAAACCCAACTTTGGCTCTGAAGCAGGCCATACAGCCCGTGTGAATGCCAAATATCTACCTACTCATCATGTGACTGTGGACAGCTGCACAACCCCTCTGCCCTCACTTCCATTCCCTAAAGGAAGTGGTGTTCCAGAAGTGCCAATCTTTGACACATGTTTTTAGGCAAATGAAATATCATCCAAATTACTTGGCTATGATTTTGGTGGCGGAGGTGGCTGTTTTGGTGGTAGTTCCCTTTACCACT